CATCTCAACTAAAAACCTTACTTAATTGTAATGATTTAATTGGTCAAGCGGACCACGAAATTAGGGAATTATTTATTATATTATTAAAAAATCACAAAATAAATATTTTTGTGCCAAGAAATGTTTTTATGTACGACGACAAAAACAAATTAATAATCAATCTCATTAAATTAAATGTTGTATGTTTTTTAAATTCTCGACTTGTTTTCTCGAATAATATTTTCGTAGGTGTATAGATAGTTAGTAAAGTTTGGGGATAAAGCGGAGTTAGTGCTCATCGTGATAATGGCCTCTTTATCTCCAAGGAGAATGTTCCCGTCTGGCCTCTGGCCTCTGACCTTCGAGTTTTCACCGCTTTTCAACTTAATGAACTACACATGATAAACGATCCGGTTGATTTCTACATTTCTCATTAGATTTGAGTCTTTCTATCCCAAAAATTAACAAGGTAAACGAAAAATAACGTAAAAGCTACTTTGATAAGTTACCGGATTTATTAGAAAAGGTTTATTAGAGAGATTTCGCATAACGTTACCGTGAGCGGTTGAATTGTTTGAAGTGCGCGTGCGCAGATTTAACGGAACGTTATCTAAAATAACGTCCTACATTATTGACTTAGAGTAGCCTGCTTATTAACGGGTAAAGCCAACGAAGTAGTTTTTTGTAGGAGATAATCTCCAATTTAAAAAGAATATTATTATTGTAATTTAAAAATTTTATAAAATTGTTCATTTCATAGTTAACGTTTTACAATTCGTACAAGTTTTCATGAAACCCGACTCCTAAGAATGTATGTACATTTGGTGTTCTAACATTAAAATGTTTAACTGATTTATTTACATACATAAAAGGAATAACAGTTAGCTAGAAATGCAGCAACCTACAGATTTTTCCTTCAAAGCCACAGCAATTGTGTAAAAGAGACCTTTAGACTGAACGTCAAAACACAATTTAAAAGCGAAAATTTTAGTTCCTAAAATTGCTAAGTTAAGCTAAGAGTTTTTTCTTTCTTAAGAGTTGTTGACATTTTTCGCCCTCAATTTCATTTAAACTAAACTTGGCCCCAACCACCCAGTAATTAATGTTTACTTTAGAGCTTCTACAATTAACAGGTCCTAAGCATTTGCCCGACTATCGTCAGTACTCAAGAGAATATCCAGAACGTCCGTGAACGGTGTCTTTGCTTACAAACTTCCAAGATACGATTTTAACCTGGATACTACAAAATCGCCAGGAAACAGTGTTAACGACAAAATCCGTTATGTAAAAAGTCTTCAAATAGTGCCACCGTTATTTGAAAGTTGTAAAATATATCGGTTAACTTGAAATAGCGGAAACGTTTTACAAATTGTTTCTAATGATAAGATTGCTTTTGCAATAATTCTTTTTATTTCCTGGCAATTACAAATGATTTTATAATCCCATTTTAAAATTTATTTTTATTTTGATTAAAACTGTTGCTGAGTAGAATAATGGATCTCGGTGGCCGAGTCGTTAGGGCGTACGATTCGTATTTGCCACGCTAGCGGTTATGGGTTCGAATCGACGCATATCCCATGAATTTTTAATTAATCATATTTTGAAGAATGTATTATAAAGTATTCTAAAGTGGTTTGACACTTCGAACACGACACCCAAAGAGTAGGTGGACATTAAGCTCCCATTGTTTGACGGGAATTACAATACTTTAGGCAATAACAGTTGAAGAAACGATAAGTCGTTTATTTTTCACTAATTAAATTTTATCATCCGTCATCCAACTATCAAAAATTGATGATACGACGCGCATAATTGTTTCGATCATTACCCTACAGCAGGGGTGCTCAAACTTGAACTGCTGGCGATCTACCTCAATATTTTTAGACTACTTACGATCGACTCTGAGAGGCTGCAAGTGTGTGTGATGCAGGGTTGTCGTACATACACGATACACCCTACCTACCTAGGTAGGGTGTACCGTAGCATATATAGATATTAGCTTTCTGCACAATATAGGTACATTATTTTAGTCAAGGTTTGGGTTAGGTTTAGTTAGGTTCTTCTCTACAATATCAATGAAAAAACTCATAGTTATTCAAAATTGCGAGTTTATTGGTTGTTACAAAACAAAAGAGTTACATATGGTGTTAAACTTAACTAAGGAGT